ACGCCTCAGGTGACCATGCGTCATGCGGCGTCATGTGGCGGAGTCAGAGGTGAGGAGCCCCATGTGTTTCCTCGGGACGCATCACATGACCGTGGACATGGTGTTCATGGAACGAGAGATGCAAGCCTTGAGGACCGTCTCCCACGTCCACGGCGTCGACATCGCCCGCGACTCCTCCCGCTGCTTGGATGTGGTGGGCAGCGGAACAGGCACGGGCGTCTTTGGGATCGACCTTGGCTGAGGCCCCAGCAGCACCTCGAGGAGCGCCTCTTCTGCCGCCTGGTTGAGCCCCGTCGCCCACCGCGTCTGCACGAAATGGCCCAGAAGGTCCATCCCACCCTTCTCGGCGAGCAGCGGCCGGTCATCGATTGCTGCCCACGACACCACCGGTGTGGCTCGGCCGGCGGCCGCCTGTAGGGTTGAGATGGGGGTCGGGGGTGGGCGCTGGGCGCTGGCAGACGCAGGCGAGTGTTGAATGCAAGGGCCAGCAAGTCTGCCTCGCCTCCTCATTTCGCCGCCGGAGCCAGCTAGAAATTTCGAGAGGGCGGACTCGCTGCGAAGCCATCAGCGGTGTCGAACCCACCACCTTGAGGCCCATCCGTGACAGTGCCTCGACCAGAGTCGACTTGAAGGCTGGGAACCTCCGCCAGTCTGTGCTCAAAACGATGCATGCGCCGGTGCGCTTCACGACGGAGGTGAGGCGCTGCAGCTTGTCCAACTCAATCAAAGCTGTTCTGTTGCAGCACAACACGCCATCACAGTCGAGGAAGATTATGCGTGATCCCTCTCCTCCCCTGCTCCCGCACGAATGCGCAGACGGCATCCGGCTTCGCACGTCAGTCCCGATGCGCTTCGCGCCGAAACGCAAACGCCAACTCAAACTTTGGACTTTGGAAGGGCCGTTTTACTTTTAATTCTTGCAACAGAGAAAAGGGAGGGTCAGGCCCCTAAAGGCCCTACGCGTGGCTCGTAAAAGACGTCACGCGTGCGGCTCGTTCTCTCTCTCTCTGCTCTCAGTCTCTCACCTCTCACTCACCTGATGCTGCTCGCACGTTGGTCGTTGCCGCGGAAGGGGAAGCCGGAAAACTTCTCGAGCCTCTGGGAACTTCTCTTTTGTCATATTGATTGCAGATTTGCCATTGCCGTGTGCCAAGCTGCAGAAGCCAGAACATGTGCGAACCAGCGCCTACGAGGCTACGACGCTCAAGGAGTCAGGCGCGGAGCGCCGCGCGCAGCGCGCCCCGAGGAAATTTTTGAGGGTTGAGGAGGGCTAGAAAGATGCGATTTTTATTAAGAGTCTGACTCACACGCTAGGAACCACTCGGCCCACCCACAGGCCCAATCTCGAGTGGCGGCGCTCCGCCGTAGAGCTGTTTAACGTTGGGAGCTGAACAGTGTTGCTAGTGTTAACAGTAACAACAGAACAACAGTGGGGCTCCCCAACAACAGTAGCTAACGTTAGGCCGGCTGAACAACAATAAGGCCTACCAGTAACCCACGACGATCTCCAGCGTCCAGTACGGCACACGTTTTTTATAACTTGATTCGCGCAGTTTTTTTTCCTTCGCGGCAACGCGAATGGCGGCAAGGCCTCTTTGCGCGCCCGCCCACGTCACGCCGAAGACCAACCGGCGTCGGACCGCGGTGAGTCCACGCCGCCCCCCGCGCCCGCCCGCGCCCGCAGCGTGAACACATACGCGCGTCCCTCATCGCACGGAAACATACGCGCCAGCCGCGCAGCAGCCTCACATGCAGCGCCGACCGCATGCTCGCGCCCTGGGCCGCCGACGACCCGGTCGGGCGGTTGCGCGGCCGCCGCACACCACCAGACAGGCGCACAACCACCCGCAGCGCGTCGCAGCCCACCGCGCAGCCCTCCCAGCCAGGCCTGCGCCTCAAAGACTCACAAACAGGCGCACAGCAGAGTACAGCACACAGCACACACCGGCGGCGCGCGCGCAGCACACGCAGACGCACGCGCGGATCCAACACGCACACGCGCACAGCACGCGCGCGCCGCACGCCAGCGCAGCGCCACACACAGAGCAATTCCCATCAGCAGCAGCAGGCCTGCCACACAATCCACATCTCACACATGCGCGCGCACACTCCCCCCTACCGGCGCACGCATTGGGCGTCGCCGAGAGCTCCCAAAGCTGACTTGTGTGGCTGCTTGTGCTACCTTTAGGGAGCAGGCAGCACAAGCAGCCACACAACCCAGAAGCTCACTTGTATGGCTGCTTGTGCTGCCTGCTGGGCAGCAGGAGGCACCAGACAACATGCCGCTTGATCTCGTCTCCTAGTCTCGCCTCATCTCGCCTCATCTCGCCTCACATCGCCTCATCTCGCCTCACCTCGCCTCATCTCGCCTCACCTCGCCTCATCTCGCCTCATCTCGCCTCATCTCGCCTCATCTCGCCTCATCTCGCCCCTCACCTCGGGGCCTCACCTCGCCTCACCTCGCCTCATCTCGCCTCATCTCGCCCCATTTTTTTCTTTTCTCGACCACTCCGAGACCGACCCAAGACCGACCCGAGACCCGAGATCGACCCGAGATCGACCCGAGATCGATCCGAGATCGACCCGAGATCGACCCGAGATCGGCACGAGCGATCAACCCAACAATGCCCCAAAGCCCCCTCTCTGGGGGACCCCCCCTCACCCCGAGTGTCCGTGTCCTTCGCGAGTCACCGATGGGGAGCGGGGGGGGGTGCGAGATGCACAGGGGAGGCTGGGGAGGGGGGGGTCCACTCTGAAGACTGCCGACCGCGGAGGGGTTTTGTCCCACAGGGTTTTACCCTCCGCGTGAGGATCGGCGCGGCGAGGGGGTAGGTTCGAATTCGCCGCGCAACATTTCACCCCCACAGGACCCCGCCCACCCCCCCTCATGGTCCCACCTAGTACCCCAATGAGCCTTCGCACCCCCTCCTTGCGCAGTGTCCCCCACTATGTGTCGCCGTTATCGGGGCATGCTATCCTGTGTAGTCAGGGCAAGTGGGGGCGGGGGGCAGTCCCTCTGGTCTGATACTGGTGTGGTTCTGTCCCTAGTCTCGGAGGGGGGCTTGAAGCTAAGAATATTTTATTTTTATATAACTTGATTCGTAGATCGGCGTCTCACGGCCGGGCCGCGGACTGGTTGGGTAGTAGTCTAAGTTCTGAGCCTCGAGGCTTAGCGGGTCTAAGTGTGCTCTGGCACGCTGGGGTGCTTGCACGGTCTAAGATCAGCGAGAGCCTCTTACACGGGCTAAGTCTGCCGTGGCACGGCCTGGGGACATGAGGGCTCGTCACGTGCCCGCGGACCGCCTGCTTACCGCCAACAGCACCGACACGACACGACACGACACGCTCGCTTCTCACGGTCGCTCCACCCGTCTCGCCCCCTCAATCCCTGCCGTCTCCCCCTCCTCGCCCTCCTCTCCACCCTCATCTCCAGCCAGCTCGCCCTCCTCCTCGTCCTGCTCGCGCATCCCCGGGGTTGTCTTGGAGTTCCGCGCGTGAGGTATTACAGGGCCTTGTCGGCAGCAGCCAGCTTGTTGCGCCGCTTCTTTGCGATGAGCTGATCGGGATCGCAGAAGCGCTTGCCAAGCACCGCCTTGATCTTGTAGCAGAACGCCGGCACGACCGCATCGTCCGCACCGCCATCGGCAAGCCGCGCTCGCCGCTGCGCCGCAGCCGCGTTCTGGCACGCGTAGCGGCAGCACATGGTACGATGCGGGTACTTGAGCAGGCGGTGCGCGCCGCAAGTAGCGCACTGGCCCTGGGAGTAGGCGTGCGCGGCATATGTGGGACGCGTCCAGGTATTTTTCGGGCGCTTTTTGCGCGGTTTTACGGAATTACGGATTGGAGGGTGGGGGGTGGTGGCACATAGCTGGATAGCTCATAGGGGGAGGGGGAGACGCCGATCTACGAATCGTCAAGTTGGGGTGCCGGCCGCGCGTGTCGTGTCCGGGTAGCACCAAGCGCGCTCCGCGCGCACGATAATCCAGTGCCTACACTTGAAGGCACTAAAGCTCGTTTCTGCAGCTTGGGGCGTGTGCCGTGTGTGTTTTCTACGGCAAAAGTTTAAGGTTTTACTGTAACGTCAAACGTCAACGTCCTCTCAGTGCTGCAACCACACATCAAGTGGGCCACTGTCAGTGGACAGTGCGCCTTTCCCCCTTTGTCAAACGCTTTGTCGTTTTTGCGACTATTTTTTCGCTTTTCTCTCGTTCAGAAGCCGGTCGTTGGGTTCGTTCAGACTTGGATTTTACGACCTGGTACATACTGACCTCTCTTTCCTCGGTCTGACCTACACGGGCTCTCAACTCAGCACCTCCTCGCGCTCGCTCCCGCCCTGCACGACGTAATCCTCTGCATACCCTCCGACGATCGAGTCGGCGCTCTCGTCGCGCAGCAGCCCCAGCTTGAGCGCGCGGGAGCCTACGGGACGTCGTGCGGACATGTCACGGACGCGTCGCCACAATAGAGCGCAGCGCGAGGGGCGCGGGCGGCCGTCGGCTCGTTCGCCCATCCCGCGCACCACGCGCGTCGCCAGCTCGTCCGGCTCCTCGAGCAGCGCGCCTGTTCGCAGCGGAGCGCGTGAGCAGCGCCGCTCCGCGGCTCGCTGCCTCGCCTCCTCCGGCAGGCGGGCCCAGCTCGACCCCGAGCGAGGGCGCGAGCCTCGCCGCCGCCGCGTGCAGCTCCGCCGGCGAGAGAGAGAGGGAGGGGAGGGTGAGGGTGCGGTCCCGCCCGAGCACGCGAGCCGGCGTGTGCACGAGCAGCTCCTCCATCGCCCCGACGGCGGCCTGACTTGCAGCTCACGCGACGAGTCACGCGGCGGCGGAGCGCGAGCAGCCCCGCTCCGCCGCCAGCCGGCCGCCTGGTAGCTAGCCACCGGCAGCCGCGTGTCGGCCGGCACGGGCAGCGTGGCCGCCTCCCCTCGCAGGGGCTCCCGCACGGCGGACGACCAGCACGTGGTCAGGGCGGGGTTGGGAGCGCCTAAAGGATGGGGCCGGCAAGCGCTCCAGCAGCGTGACGGCGGGCGGTGGCGAGGGGCGGTGGCGCGCCTGGCCGAACGACGACGACGGGCAGCCGGAGGCCGCGCCCGTCGACAGCGCCGCGCCGCGCGTAGTCGTTCACCATCAGCTCGCACACCACCTTGCAGAAGCCGTATGTGTTGCCGGGCAGCTGCTTTGTCCCGTCGCCGGCCGCGTAGTCGGGCGGCGCATGTGGCGGCAGGCTTCCAAACGTCGCCGTCGAGGAGGTGAAGAGGAAGCGGGCGCCGGGCGCGGAGGCGGCCAGAGCGTCGAGGAGCGCGCGCTGCGCCAGCACGTTCACCTCCCACGCGCGGTCCGGGTTGAGCTCCGAGTCGCCCGAGACCATCGAGGCGAGGTGAAGCACCGCCATGTCTGGCTCGTCGACCAGCTCTGCGGGTACGCCCTCGGCGGTGATGTCGCCGATCTTGACCTGCACGCGCTCGTCCTGCGTGATCTCCGCGGGCAGGTCGTCCGGGATGCCGCCCGCGTCGAAGAGCGTCAGCTGCGAGAGCGGCTTGAGGCAGCGGTCGACAGGGCTCCACAGCGCGGCGCCGCGCCGAAGGAAGCGGCGAGCAGCCTGCTGGCCGAGGAAGCCAAGCCCGCCCGTGATCAGGAGGTTGACCATCGGTGCTCCGCGCGGCGATGAGAAAGAAAATCCTTGGCTTGAAACGATAAGAAACCCATACACCGCTCGGTTGGGGCTCTTCTCTCAGAATGGAATAAAGAGAAAACCGCTGGACGCGATCGGACCACGCGCCGGTTCTCTTCGGTAAGGAACTCGAGATCGCGCGGAGGCCAGGAGGCATTGAGATCGCTCCGAATGCGGGAGTTTGCAGTCCCTGCCATTTCCGAGGCCGCCACTTCAGTCCGTTCGGCCTCCTCGCGCGGCTCATCGTCCTGCTTCACCATCCGCCCTTGCGGCTCGGCTGACGAGCTTGGCGATGTGCGTGGGCAGCTGCGGAAGCGCGAGCACCAGCGCGGCTTCATCAACTCGATTCTGGACGTGCGTGACCGCCAGCTCTACCCGCGCGACTTGCTAGTAGCGTGGGTGCCCGCGCGTCGGGGCGGCCAGCGTCCGGCCGGGGTCGTGCGCCGCTCGCTCAAGTTCGACAAGGCTGCTGGTCGCTCGAGTCTGCACGTGGACTTCGTCTGGGTCGCGCCCGAGTTCCGAGGGCAGCAGATCGGCCGTGCGCTCCTGGTCGAGAGCCTGCAGTTTGGCAAGCCCAAGGACGTACGGCTCGAGGTTGCGGGCAGCGTGTCAAACATCGTGGCGATCCGGTTGTACGAGAGCCTCGGCTTCCGCTGGACCGATGCCTCGCACGCCGAGATGCTCCTCAGCGCGGAGCAGGCGCGCGCGGCCGCCGAAGCCTACGAGCGAGAGGCTCCCTCCCGCCCGGCCGGCAAGCCGGGGGGGCCGCCATCCTCCGCCGCCTCCGCCGCAACCACCGCCGTCGCCGCGGCATGGGCGACCTCCGACATCGCCAGCATCGCGGACGTGGTCTCGCCCTTTCCGTCGCGCTCGCCCTCGCGCGCCACGCTGGTGGAGGACGCGGGGGAGCAGCCGGGCCAAGGGGGTGGCGACAGGTAGAGAGAGCCCTCCTGCGCTTTCCGACTTATCAGATACCCCGCGCGTCTGTGTGTGTGACCTGTCATGAGTGTGCGCATGTCTCAAGTTCTCTGTTCCCGCCGTCCCGGCGTGTCTAATGGTCTCTCCGACGGGCCCCCAGTCTCTCCACGCGCGGCGCCTCGCCGCCGCGCGCGCCGGGCCCGGCCCGCCGGCGCCGCGCCCGCGCGGGCGCGCGGGCGCGCGACTAGGTCCAGCCCTGGGTGGCGCAGGTTGTGACATTTGGCGATTCCGCGACTTACTGGGCCCCTGAGCCGCTACCCGTGTGCGATTTTTTGTGGCCCGGGCATGATACTGATAGTAAACGGGTCAGAACCGGCCAAACACAGGCTACAGCCCCCCACACACACGCGCCCGCCATAGCTCCTGGAGAGCATGCGCGAGTGACGCGCTACAAGCCGCGACGCCGCGAGAGTGGCATCAGAGGCAGGAACGACGCTTGCTGCACCTCGCAGCTGCACCGAGTGTGCTCGCAGTGTATGCCACGGCCACCGCCTGCGGCATTGCTCTCGTGCAGCTAGGCGACGCAGGTCCATCAGCAGGGCTCATCCAATGCGAGCGCACATTGTGCGTAGCCGCAGGCAGGTGGCAGTGCACGGCCGCACACCGGCTGTGGCGGCTCGTATGCCCCCGGCAGTGCTGCTAGTCATTAACTTGCGTATTAGGGCCGCAGCAGACTGCTGCTGTGGCAGCAGCAGCAGCCTGCTCCAGCAGCAGCCTGCTGCCTGATTCAGTCAAGCCAGCGGCGCAGCGAGGCGTGCAGAATTTGCGTGGTTTTGTTCCTCCTGAGGCTGAGCGCATTCGAGCCCTTCGACCGGAGTTGGATGGTACCACGCGTCTCACTGAGACGCGGGGTACTGGCCATGGCCGGACTACGGAGCGTGAGGTGGCGAGCGGAGCGAGCGACAAAACAACGAGAAAAACACGGATCTGACGATTGTCACAGAACGTCAGATCTTGCGCCACCCAGGGCTGGACCCAGTCGCGCGGCTTGCCGCTGGCGGTGGCGCTGCCCCGCCGGCGGCGCCCCGCCGGGGCGGCGGGGGGCGCTAGGGGGGGCGCGGCCGCGCGCGGGTATACATTGAATTTATTTAGACTCCATCTCCAACCGAACAGACAACGGGGCGTTCGAGCGGGGGGATGCGCGCAGATCGTACGAGAGGCAGAGTGGTCCTCTCCACAGAGCAAGCAGATAGCAGCCCCCCCCCCCCCC